TACATGTGTATTCGAGAACTATAAATCCTCATTACAAGAATAATTTAAAATCTGATACATTTGCATTATAGAATTAAAAAACTTAGGTTGCACAGTAGTTCAGCAACCTGGCCACGCTAAATTATAAAATCTGTCTGCTGTCTGAGTTCTGCTAATTTAGTCCATGTCTCATAAGTGTAATGCAAATTGGATTCTTCACCAATAAATAATTTTAAGATGTCAAAATCAATCACCATGGTACCATGATGCCTGATCTGTAATCAATCTCATTCTACTTTCTCTTTAGGCATATATGTGTGAGAAATTTAAGAGGTAATCAATCACAGCTTCTCTTACTTATGAATAAACTGAGACACCTCCTGACTAGAACATTTCAAATGATCTTGCAAAGCTGAAAATCAGAAGTGAAGTCTGTGGATGTGTGGATGTTTATATATACACAGAGAGGTGAATTAAGATTTATTGGGACCCTGGGCACAAAGAACATTTGGGCCTCCCACACCACAGCAGCCATGCCCACCCACTTTTCAACACGGGCATAGTAGCCTCGGGCAGGAACAGAGTGGCAGCGGCAGAGGCTGCACTTTGCAGCAGCGGGAGCTCCTAAGGTGATCAGCTCTCCCACTGCAAAGTGCAGCCCTTGCTAGTGGTGCCAGCCTCTTCCTGGTGGGGGGCTGCTCTGTGCCCCCTGCTCCTCCTCTTCCCCCCAAAGCCCTGCCTCCTGGCCAGGCCGGAAGCTAGAGCCAGGCTATGGTAAGAGCCACTCATGGAGCCCGGCCACTGTGGGGAGCCCCGGACCCTCCACCTATCCTGGGTGATGCACCCGGGGGGGTGGGGATACTGGCCAAGGGCTGCTCTTGGACTCCCTGACTCCCCACCTGGGGCTCCCTGGGCGGCTTTTACCATGGCCCTTCCTGCCTTGCCAGGGGACGGAGCCTCAGGGGAAGAGGAAGAGCAGGGGATGAGACCACAGTTCCTGCATTGGTGTCCCCCACCCCACTTCTACACAGGTTCCAGCGCTGAATTGGCCGGGGTCCCTGGGCATGGGCCTACTGGGCCCAGGCATTAATCCACCATTGTATACATACACATTATTAGTCTGTATAAGCTGGTATTGCTAATAGCTGGTACACCTCTACCCCGATATAACACTGTCCTCGGGAGCCAAAAAACTCTGTGTAGTTTTTCAGACACAATTGCTTCACAGTTTTCCATTTGAGCTGGGATTCATGCCATGACAGGTTTCTTTAATCCAACTCCTAAATGTGAGACTAGAAGAATGCCTGATTAATAATACTGAAGTCTTCTTCCCTTATTATAATTTGCATGAGAAATACTGAACATTTGGAAGACCTTTGATCCCATTATCTCTGGATTTGTGAGACAAAATTTCTATATCTGTTGTTTGAAATTATAGGGCCTAATATTGTAATCTCTCATGCTCATTTGCAAACAAATTGATAGTATGATGTAAAACTTACTAATATCCTGTAATTCTTTTTTACAGTCATATAAGATGTTACAACTGCATGTGCCCAGTGGCTAGGGACCAAATCCTGCAGTCCCTTTAATTGATACTGGCCAGTGGTGCAGGTATCTCAAGTATTAAAAAGAACCTGGTGACAGAATTGTACTAAAAAATTATAACTTTTTTCAAGAGAAGAAAACTTTTGAAAGGCTGATTTTAAGTCCTAATTAAGACACTAATAATTCATATGATTATCTTGGCCTCAGAGTAATAATAATAATGCTTTAGCACTTTTGAGACCTAGTTTTCAAAGTGTTTGACAAAGGTAGGTAGGTTATTTCCCCTTTCACAGATGGGCAAACTGAAGAGCCAATGGGAAAAAAATCACATTGACTACAATGGGAGCAGTATGGAGCCCCAACATGACTCATTTAAGATAATATCATGAGTTATTGACAGAATTACAAATAGAGTCATGTGTCCCCTGACTCCTATTCTTGTGCTCTATGCACTGAATTGCACTTCTGTCCCCATCATTTTATGCCCTCTCTCTCTCTCGTGTTAAAGTTGGGCACTTTTGCTAGAGGCCCCACTTTTGTCAATTAGCCCTGAGATGGGCTTCTCACTTTCTGAAAAGTCCATAGTGCAATTTTTGTGTGTAAGGTTCGAAAGGACAGGAAAATATTGAGCAATCAGCTCATTGTATGACTGGGAAGAAAAAAGTGAGCTTGCCCTTTTAGTCAATGTTCACTCTCATCCAGAATACTAGATAAGACGGTGATAAAATGCTTGAAGTCATTGATACCTATAAAAAAGAGAAAGGGCTGGACTATATCCGTTTTAATTTTGTGGTCTCTCTCTTTCCTTCTCTTTAAAAGAAAATCTTTCTTGTCTAGAAGATCATAGGGCACACTGTCATTGTTGTGGCCATTTTGATGACAATTTAATATTGCTGGAAAACTAGGACTTGATAATGTCAGTTAATCATGGCTAAAATATTGAAGCTTGAGTGCGTAGAATTGTCTTCAGTGGGCGCTGTGGATAGTCAGCACCTCTGCAAATCAGGATCTTTACTGTGGTGCCTACGTATGGATCTAGGTGTTACATTTTAGGTACTCAAGATTGTACATTTTGGCCCATATGTCCACAGATGCCCACTGAAGACTGACATGGGATAACCACACAGCAAAATCAGTAAGGGCTGGATCTTCAAAGCTCATGTGCAAAATGGGACGTTGCACAAAAGCACAGCAAGGAAAAGAGATGGCTGAATTCCCCAATGTTGCTCAACAATGCCATTTCCACCAATGTGTCTATAGGTGTAACGAGTATGAAAGGGACTCATGTTGGGACAGATCTTTATGGAAGAAAAGGAGTCAGAAGAGTGATGATCACTTTATGGTTAACCTTTTCTTTACCAGTCTAACCTGAAACCAGCGGTGTCTTTCACCTAGCAACTGGATGGCAGTGCCACAGGATTAACCAACTAAATGGCAATGGGCCATTCTGGAAGGGAGGCTTAACATTGTGTTGGAAGGGCCATTTCAGTAACAGCATTCTGAAACAATAGGAATAATGGAGTCAGAAAACAAATTGCCATTTCCTGGAAAATGTCTTCCTTTCTAAAAATATTTATAGTTACTGCCAAGCCTTGAATTAAGTGGTTTATCTAGACAGCATTACTGCACATTCTGACAATACAGGTGCTGGTGTACAACTAAGGTTAAATGAACATCATCATGCATATAAGTAACCTTAAATAAGACAGACCAGCTATGTGAACTGCAAGGGAAGCTAAATGGTTATCTGAATTGAATGTCATAAGTCACACAAAACTGTCATATGGAAAAGGATAAAGGTCCAAATTCTCTGCTGGAGTAGATTGGCACCACTCCAGTAAAGTCATTTGTACCATCAGAGGGTTTGACCCCAAATCTTTATCATTCAGCTGCCTTATATTAGAAGATTTGGTAGTGGGATGTATCGATGTCTAGACATAAATGTTCTGGAGTTTAATGTAATTGTGTCTCAGAACTCATTTCTGTTTACATGCTAAACTGCCGTGAGCAGGACAAGACCATCTAAAGAAATAATATTACAGGGAGAATATATAGTTTAAACATAAAGGTAAGATAATGTATTTTCATAACATGCACAAAAATAAGCAATGTTTCAATTAGGAGAGAGAGAGAGAGATGGTAAGAGCTGCAGTGAAAGCTCCCAGCAAAAGCAAATTTTTTTCTGTAGGGATTGATGTTTCTCATCAGTGCAATTTTATTGTTGGTATAATCATCTCTTACCATAAATCACACCCAACACGGTAAAGTGCAAATTACTGTCAAAAACCACATCTTTTATAACCACAAGAGAAAAAGAAAAGAGGGAGAGGGAGAATCTGGAAAATGAAGAACCGTAGCCCAAAGAAGCTTCTGTTGTACTGCTTTCACCTGCCAGCAAATCTTTCAGTGGGTACCACATCTGACATCCTTTTCAGAAGTTAATGCAATCTATTATCAGATCCGTGTCCATTCAAGAAAGAGAAACAAAAAACAAAGCAAACATTTTTTTTTCAAGAGATGTGTTATACAAAAATGCATCTGGTGTTGTAAAGATGTAAAAGGACCTGATCCAAATATCACTGGAGTCAATGGAAAGGTTCCCATTGATTTCAGAGGGCTTTTGGATCCGGCCCTTAATGCAAACTAAACCTTCATCCTTTCCATTCCATGTCTGGTTTTCCAAAGTACCAATAGAAAGAGATCCTGCAACTGTATTGAGCGTTTGAGGACAATGTAATAACCCCCTGATAAATTAATGCGTATTGAGCTATCCAAGCTGACAAGAAGCCAGGATTCATTCCTTTGAATTTGCATTAGGTGATCAATACTGAAAGAATGTTCTACAGAGGAGTCCCACTGTTGTGTAATAGCTTCCTAATTAATTGTAGCTTTCATTAAGGAATGCCGGGGCATGGGCGTTATTTTCAAGTGTTCAAAGTGATTCTTCGGTTCTCTTGTAGCAATATTTGGGGGTCCCTTCAGATCATCTTCAGTGCACCTGCCCTGACGTCTGAAATATTATCATGAAGTTGCTTTGAGTGCCTGGAATGCGTCACTTGCTCTGCTTTGATGACTAATCTTTGGTGTCAGGGGACAGTGGATCAAAATCCCTCTCTGGGCGGATGGCAGGAGTTGCGGGTTGGAAATGGGCTCCTTCTGCGCAGACTTCCCTAACATTGCGTCATTTGCAACCCTAAAGGAATATACTGTAGTTTGTGGTGGACACGGACACCCAAGGGGGTCACCTCCAAGGAAAGGCTCCTTCCGAGGGTCAGAGGGGAAGAAGAAGGAAGGGATACTCAGGGTAATTGACTACTGATCGCAAAGTACAGCTGGGGGCCTGTCACGTGTTTCACATAACTACAAGGAAGTAATTAGATTTAGGCAAATGAAGCTCCCTTGGCCCTCCCCATCTCCAGGTATATAAACTGGAGAGCTCTCGAGCGTGCATTTAGACACACTGCGAGAGAGCAGCGGAGAGCATCGCGCTTTCCCATTGCAGTAAGTGCGCTCAGCCCCAGGACTCGCCCATTGCTTTGCTCCTTAGTTCTTGTCTATGCTGAGATGCGCGATTCCTCTTGGGACGGATGCTGAGGGGGGGCGGAGTTGTATGCAGTACTCATGCCTTTCTTTTCTTTGTTACAGCAGACAGCAACTTCGAGCAACTGGCCGGAGGGCTCGGGACACTTGTCCGCCACCCACCCACCGCACTAGGGGTACTGCCTAGCAGGAGGAGAGGCGAATATGAAAATCCTCGTCGCTTTTGCAGTGCTTTTCCTAATTTCAGCGCAAGTGTTTGCAGAAGAAATCGGAGCCAATGATGATCTGAATTACTGGTCTGACTGGTCCGACAGTGACCAACTCAAGGTGAGCTAGGGAGCCTGGAGATGCTCAGCTCATGCACGTAAGTAGGGGGGCAGCTTTTATAAGTAAATGCATGAGCTTTGGGCGCCCGTCAGGTGAGAGAATTCTGAGCTTTGTCTTGCAGTGTATCTTATTGTTACATTTCCTAATTTATATACGATACAACCTATTTCCATTTAAGACCGAGCGGTGACTACTGCGAATGAATTGCTAGGTAACTGCCAGCATTTAGCCCTTTAATAGGTGGGTCAAGTGGTTTAAACGGTTACTTTGTTTGGGTGGCTCCCAAATCCGCGTCCGCTCCAGATAACAGCGTGTCGATTTCACACCAAGTTTAACAGAGGTTCCACCTCTCCCATAGCGCGGGCAACTTGCGACTTGTTGCTTTAAGGAAGAAGAAGTGAAGGGAGTAACCGCGGAGAAAGATGTTACGCAGTAAAACAGGTCGCTCCCAAGAAAGTTTGCTTGCGTCTAGGAAGACGTAGCGGGTGGATGGGGAGCTCGGAGCAGGGAGGGAGCCGCAGTGAGAAGGGGATGAGGGAGCGTGTGCTGGGGGAACTTTACTCCCAGGGCTCTCCGAGTCGGGTGCAGCTGTATGGAGCGGGCTTGGCGGCGAGGCGTGAGACACCGCTGGGCAATGCCGGCGTAACGTACTCTTGCCTATACGCGCAATAACATGACGGAGCCGCTTTAGCCGACCCGCTTTCCCCGGGATGTAGGCGTGGGTTCGTTTGGGGTCGGTTTACTTAACAATAACCCGAGTAGCGAACTCGGGCACCACGTGCAGGACGTCCTGCCCGCTCCCCCGCCAGCCCCACCCAGCGGGGGCGCCACAGCCCAGCGAGCCGGGGCGGGCGAAAGGAGAGTGAAAATGCCCATCCCCCTGCGCTGTGTCTCTTTCCTCTAGGGCGTGGCCGGGGGTGCGCCGCGGTTAGTGCCGCTAGATTTCCCCCCGCTCTCCGTGTGTCTCTTGGCCCGTCTCCGGTCCTCTGCAGATACCTGTTGCTAGACGGCTGCCGGGTAGTCACGGGCTTACTGCAAAGCATATGGCCTGCAGACAGTCCATACACGCAGGCACGTGGCTGGCGGGTGGTGGTTCCCCTGGGAAGGGCCAGCCCGGCGTAAGGTGACCAACCCTGATCGGACCTGCACGCACAAAAGAGTTTTCCTCCAGGCTAGACATTAGAATCCAAACGGATCGAAATCCCCCCTTTGGAAAGAAAGCAGCAGCTCCCTCCGGCTCGATGGCAGCTTCCCGGTTCCGATTGCTCTTGCCGCTTCTTCTCAAGCAGTCTCAGTGCAGAGTCTACAGGCAGGCATGCCCGGTGCAGCAGGGACAGGCAGCCAGAAGTTTGCAATGGGGCAGGCTGCTGGGGCGTAGTTTAATTTGTTGGATGCAATTCCAGGGAGACTCCGGGTTTTTTCCTTCCCGGATCTCCAGGGCTGTGCTGAGTAAAATGCTGACACTCTCCTCTACATTTCAGGAGGAGCTGCCCTTACCCTTGGAACACTTTCTGCAGAGAATTGCCAGGAGACCCAGACCACAGCAGTTCTACGGGTTAATGGGCAAACGAGATGCTGGTGAGATTGCATTCTGCTTCTGTGCTGGAGGAATGATTTACAAATATCAGAGCCTAGGGGTCCTTTAGCCTCCTGCCTTTTAAACTAATTCACAGTTCACAATTCTCTCTTTGCAGTTGAGGAGACACTATAGGCATTTTGGTTCATGTAGTGACTTTGAACTAGGGTGACCAGATGTCTCGATTTTATAGGGACAGTCCTGATAATTTGGGGCTTTTTCTTATATTGGTACCTATTACCCCCCACCCCCATCCCGATTTTTCACACTTTCTATCTGTCACCCTACTTTGAACTGGACTGCGCCCTGTTTATGACAACTCATTTTGAAGAAGAGGTAATGTGGATAAAATGGGAATTTCACTCATGACAGGGGGAAAAAATTGAAACAGACTTACACTCACCCATGGTAAATATACACAAAAATGTAAATCTGACCCTAAATGCTTTAAGAGAAAGCAAACACAAAGATGTGGAAACCTATTTCATTTTGCTCCTCAGGGTACAATCAGAATAAATTATTTTCAGGACCATCTCAAAGATACATCATTGTAGACCTCTTTTCAGCATAACTATCCGTGCCTTTATAAAACTTTATAATTTGTTTTTGAAATATAAATTAAATTCACTCCAGCTACTGAAAGTGTTTTCTGTTTAATAGAAAATTAATCCATAATTTGGAAAAACAGTGGACATATGATTTGGTCTTTATAGTAAACAATTCTTAAGTGCGCACACATTTTGTAAAAACAATTAAGAAAATAAATGATATCTTGCGGGCTGGTATGTATGCCTTTAATTAAATTATTGTCATGATTTCTAGTTCAAAAGGTTTACTAGATTAAGAACAGGGGAAAATACCTATTTTGAGTCTTAATGAAAGTTAACTAATTGTGTCTTGTTTTATAGAAGATATTATATTTTATTGATTAATATAATATATAGCTCGATTGATATGGCGGTAAATTATTGCACTAATTCTCCAAGACTGGGAATATACAGATTGTTTCTATTCCTTCATAGACCTCACATAGAGATCACTTCTATTTCATCACTATTAAAACTACTTTTTTTCCTTCCTCTAGGTTATGGCCAAATCTCTCATAAAAGTAAGTTCGTTTGTTTGTTTGTTTTGTTTTTTTGTTTGTTTGTTTTCTAAATTATTATCTAAACAAAATGAGAAAATGAATTGTTCTAATTTTGAGGTTTCTAGTGTGTCACTGTAGCCTAGAATGTTAGTGTACTTACTAAAGACTGAAAGCAAGAGTGGAGGAGAAATATTTCTAGCTCTGGGTTTACAAAATAATATAGCTAGAGATAGGCTTGATCATGGTTATCTACTCTGAACAGCCCCTCTTTGGGGCTTTCTCAGTCAGTATGGGATTACTCCCAAAGTCAAGACACATGAATTTAGGTGGCAGAAGCAAGCAAACCAGAACTTCAAATCCCTGGTTTGATTCCAGATCCAAAGTTTACACTTGAGATATATCAATGTTCTAAGTTAAGTTATATCTAACTGACGAATGAGTTGTCACATAAGCAAGTGCACCTGCCAACATGAATCAGTGTGGACTTCTTTATTCCTGTACGTCACCCAGGAGAAATCGTATCATTCACACTGAGATGTATTTTTTCCCCCTCTGGAACTGTCAGAAGATCCTAAAATGAAATCGAAAAGCATGGCTTTTAATAAAGATTGATGATATACATTTTGTGAGACCTTAGCTATCCAAGAAGGTTAATAAGCATGCCAGAGTTCTGTGCTAACGGCTAGACTTTATCACTGGGATTACTTATCCGAATGACAATCTTAAAAACTCTCATCCAAAGCTCAAGCCAGATAACCAGTAGCTACATCTGGTTAAGTCAAAGTTATAGCCTTCAAATGTCTCCTCTCTGAAGATCAGAGAGATTGACCTCTGAGAGGTTTTATGGTAATTTATCCTGTATTATGAACACACAATCAAGGAAAACTCTTTCCAAAGAGGAATTTGCACACTCTGTTCACATCAGAATAGTAAAATAGAAGTAGATACTTTTCAAAATGTTTCTCTGGTTATTTGAAATCAGGCTAGCTACTGCTACATGTGCAGCATACATTTTGGGCTAAATCCTGCAACTCTAAACAAGCCTCAGTCAGTGCTTCCAGGGTCACAAATGGAATAAGGACTGCAAAATATGGCCTCACAAGAAGTTAAAAATCCCGTATAGGCCAGGTTGTGGAGCCCTAACACATACTGGTAGGTAATCAGCATTTACTTCCGTGTAGTCCTTTGACTAACCAGCATGACTAAGGACTCCATAATTTGGCCTATAGAGTCCTCTGTTCCATATGACAGTAGGAAACATTTATGTGAAATAATTCATGGAACAGATGAATCCAACAGACCCAAGATATAGGAAGGGGAAGTCTGTCAAGCTATAGGGCCTGATCATGCTTCTATTGAAGTCACTGGAAGTTCTACCACTGACTACAATGAGGTCAAAATTGGCATCAATTATCTGGTCATTGTCTGTTTAGCCACAATGGAAAGGCACCTACTAGCCTGACCGGACTTTGAATCAGACCCTATGAGATAGGTGAGGGTGATGTGCATTCTCCATTTATACTAACATTTCAAGTGGTATCAACTTTAGTAAGTAGGAAGAATATTTGTGGAGTCTACATCTTCCTTGTATTTCTCATGAAAACAAATTACCTCAGAAAAACTGCATATTGAAAATGTATTAAAACACCCCCAAATATATTTTTTCAGGGCATAAAACAGACTCCTTTGTTGGACTTATGGGCAAAAGATCTTTAAATTCTGGTATGTATAAGCAATGGCTAAGACTAAAACTACCTCTTAATTCTACTATTACCTTTTCATTCTGTCCAATAAATTGAAGCAGTCTTGACATGAGACTTCATAAATGACAGATGAGTTCTTATGACGGGGGGGAAAAAAGTTGCTTAATCAAAATATTTTAATCTGAAGGTCATTTCAGTGAGGGAGGATGGGCAATAGGTTGAGCCAGGCACAGTGCAGCTGGTGCCATATACATTTTCCTAAAGAATTCTGCTTATGCCCCTCAATCCTGACCTGTAGCCTCCATGTTATTCCAGTTCTCCACTTCTTCTGAGCAGAGACCGAAAACCACACTAAATTCTGGTGACATGAGAAAATGTTCAAGGATAAAAGTATCCAATCCATTTTAACTGGTGGATTTGAACCTAGATCACCTCAGGTAGAAGGTGCACTACCTCCTGCACCAACTGACTTTTGGAGGTTCAAAGGGAAACTGTTTTTATCTTGTACACTACTGACTGTGAGCTTAAAGTCCTCCCATCAAAAGTGGCCCCATCTTTTGCCACAAGGTATAAAGGTTTTATTTGTTAAACATCCGCAACTTTTGTGAACTTTTTAATTTTACATTCAAATAATGACTCAATAAACAAAGTTAAGCAGCACTTTAAACTACTAAAGTTTTGCAGACAAGTGCTCACCACGACTTTCCCTCCCCTTTCCCCATATCTGCATTTCCCCTAATCTTGCCCACCTTTGTTAATATTGCATATGGATAACTCCAGTCTTCCATTAGCTGTAACTTGTCTTATCCACAAAGCATTAGTTAGCTATCCAGAAAAGGAATTTTTATTTTTATTTTTGAAGTGATCTAATGCCTGTTTAAAGCTACTGAAATAATTCTCACTGTTCTGTTAAATGGATTTTAAGTTAAATGGCCAGACAGCATTTTGATATTACACAAGTGCACATTGTAAACTATTTTCTGTAATTACAGTTGTCAGTGATTTTATTTTTAACTAGACTGTAGTCAAAGAAATAATATAGGTCTCTATATCCTAACTAGTCTTGCAAATTTCCCTGAATCAGGAGCAATCTAGTATAGCTCTTCTCACTGTGAGGGTAATAATGATTAAATGTACATATATTTGTAAATACACATTTGCTATTATAGCAGCAAATGGCATCAAGTGATAAATCTGATTCAGTTTACTTTGGGATTAAATTTACTTTATTATTTTAAGTATGAAAATCTGAGATGCAGTGAGTATAAAATGTTCTTTGATTACTTTCAAATTTGCTGGCATAGTTGGAATACAACTATGGTTAGTTAACTATAACCAGGATGAATAATGAAGTTGTAGACAGTCAGGATTTCTAATAGTAACGGACCAGCCTGATAGGTAAACCAGTTTTAGAATTTAGCATTCATACTCCTCTGCCTAGTTGGGAGATGAGGGTGGAATAGTATAGGTTTGATTCCACTCCTATTAAAAGTATGCAACAACCACAACTGCAACATTGTTTACCCCTATACAGACTGGGAAAAGCTTCCTGGGGAAGCTTTTCTTCATTTAAGAGTAAAGTTACGTGTTGGAAATGGGCTGGGTTTCTCCCCTCGATGCCTAATACAATTTATCCAGAAAATTACTAAGTCTTCTGGTGGATGGAAATTGAAATTAGAGGTCCCATGGTACCATAATCCTGGTGATTTGCCCAACATTTCCTGTCTCAGTAAAGCAGGTTCCAATATGTAATGCCCTGATCTGCAACAAGTTCATGCAGGCAGAGCCATGCACCCACTCATTGCAATCAATGGCCTGCAAATAGCCATAATAACTAAATAACCATAAATGCAGGGGTAATCTATACTGATAAGAGGTACAGGAATTACAGGTACTGGGGGCATGGCAGCATCCCCAGCTTGAAGTGCTTTCCATCATATACAGGGTTTACAGTTTTGGTCAATGGTTTTCAGCTGCCCACTATAACAATTGTTCCCAGACTACTGTAGATCATGATTTGGGTATAGTCCATAATACTTGTTCAGTGAATTCAATAGTAATACCTTACTTTCTGCTAAAGAAAGTAAGATATTATCAAAACTTAAGCAGAATGTATTGTTTTAGTGTTTAATCAGACAAACCCTGAAAGCTGTTTATCTTTAATTTGGGCCCTTGCTTGTTTTTTCCTTAAGCCCTATGGAGCAGAGTCGTAATTCAAGCCTTGCAAGATCAGCAGCGCTATATCCCTCAAAATTAGCAGGGCATTTGCATGTAATAGTTATGCATCTTCATGCTTTACTGAGCATGGCCAGGAATATTCTTGATGTCAGAAGGGGGCGGGGGGGGGGGGGGGGGAAGGTCTCCCTCATGATCCGTGCCACAGGCTTCTGGCTTAGAGGCAGATATGATTATGCTTAAAAAGGGGAAAAAGCAATGAATCCACTAAAACAGACTTTTGGAAGATGCAGAGGGTGTGGTTCAATGTCTGCTTGAAGAATTCCTCTAGAACAGTGCTTCTCAACCTTATTTGACCAGGCCCCCCTTCTTTGTGTCTGCAGCTGTTTACTTACACACATGCACACCAGAAGTACACATACCGCCACCCAGCTCTAAAGGCAGTATCACTTTTCACAGCAGACTTAATGCCCCATTGTCACTTACTTCTGAGCTGCTGCTGACAGCCGGAGCCCCACCACCTCCAGGTGAGGGATCCGGGGGCAGGAGAGCCTGAGCATGAGCTGCCTCCCTGTGAGGGATTGCTGGGAAGGGAGGAGAGCCCAAGCAGCAGGGCTCTGGCTGTCCCTTGTAGTCCCACCTCCTATGTGTGCATGGCCCTTCTGCACAAGCCCCAGCCACCCAGGGCTGACAGCCAAAGCTCTAACACACACACACATGCACACACACACCTCGTGCCTCCCTTGGGAGGCCCACTCCATAGTTTGAGAACTGCTGCTCTAGAACAGAGGCAGACTGCACAGCTGAGACCTCCCACCTTCTGTGGGGCACTATGTGAAGAAATTAATGCCATTGGCAAGACAGGAAAGGAATCCTAAAAGACCCTGTTGGTTTGTGCTTTCGTTTAAAAAAACAGAACTAGTATGGGAGGTGCAAAAGGCTAGATCAGGACCCTCCTCACACACAACTCTACCCTTATGGGGGAAGGGGAGGTCGGCTGCCTTCATAGCGGCATCCACCTCTCCCACTGCAAACGGTTTGTTAATAAATGTGAGGCAGGAGAGAGCTGGGGCAGGCAGTGGGTGGGAGGTCTCTTAGGAGAAAGAACATTGTTCCTTCAGCTGGCCTTCTGGAGAGTATCAGGGAGAGGTGTACCTGGGGGTATTTAACATTTTCCACCTGTCCCGTTGAGAAGGTCCTCCTTTTAGAGGGATCCTGGGGACAGCTGTGATCAGTGGAATTCCTGGTAGCAAGGCACCATTAGAGCCATCCGGCAAGAAAGCCACGGTAGCCATACAGAGCTAGCACAGAGGTTCGAGGCCTCCATGCAGATGGATGTGACCTATTAGAGATCCCAGGAGATCTGCAGTGGGTTGTGGGTGGGCCCCATAGCTCACCCCTAGTCTGGAAGTGACCTCTGGTCTCTCACCTGGGATTGAGACTACCGGGGAGCTAGCATACACACACAGAGCTTCCAGGAGCAAACTGCATTGAGGAAACAAAGCATATAGGCCCAATCTTGAAAGGAGCTGAAAGCCCTCAACTTTTATTGGAGTCATTGGGAGTTGAGTACTGACAATCTCTTTGGCTCAGGCCCTTAATATATTGCTCAGAACTGAATGGCGCAACACAATGAAATGTGGTGATACATAAAACTTGCAATGTTTTATATGACTCCTGGTGCTTATTATATTTATACAACACTTTACACTTATTTTTTCAGGGTCCTCTGAAAAGAACACAGCACAGAATTACGAACGAAGGCGTAAATAAGACATTCCCATGTATTTATTAAACTTCATTTGTTTAAATGGCCAATGCAGTGTAATATAAACTATCCACTGTAAGGAATAATTATTTATTTAATAATTGTTGGGTTTTTTGAGTTGTAAATTCAATAAAATGATTATTTTTCATAGTGTGGCAGTGATACATGTTGTATAAGTGTGTTGTAGGTCTAAAACGAAGACTCCCCATGGAACCGAAATCAGTGACATTTCACAACAAAGCACATTATTTGAAATGACCTATAAAGATAAATAACCAAAAAAGGAAATAAAATTTTGTTAATTTAAAGCAATCATATCAGCTTCACTACCAGTGCAGAACAGAACTGATGTACAGTCTAGTGCCTCAATTTCTTTTCATGGTTTAAAATGTACTGTAATTTTCGTATCAAAAATATATTTGTATCATTGCAGCATGTTTTATGTTTCGTGACTGTGTGTGTATATATATCTATTTAAACAAAAGAGGTTTGAATGTGAATCCAAGGTCTTCAGTTCATAGTCTGAAATTTTATGATAGTAACATTTTAAATAAAAAATACTTTTGGGATTTTGCAACATACCTTCCTTGGGTAGAGTGATGGAATTATTTCAAACCCAGAATCATCTGAAATAAGATGCAAACTGAAGAAAAGATATTGGGCTCTAGGAGCAGAAAAAAGCCAGTTATAATTACTGTACTTCATTTTGCAGGGCAAAATATAAGCTTTCTAATACTTGGGGTGGCGGGGGGGTTTAAAACTTTGAGGATTCTTTCTAATTCTGTTTTTAGCAGTAGGGCCAGCCAGCTGCCCCTGAGTTAATCTATTATGGGCTCAGTCATACAAGGTGCTGAGACCCTTCCAGGGCCGGCTCTGGCTTTATTGCCGCCCCAAGCAAAACAAAAACAAACAAACAAAAACACCACAACCCATGGGCGGCAAAAAACGGCAAAGCAAAACAAAAACAAAAACAAAAAAAACCCCTGCAGTGCGGCCAGAGCCAGGGTGCAGCGGGACTCCCTGCGCTGCAGATGTGGGGGGGGAGGAGAGAGAGAAGAGGGGCGGCCAGGGATTCAGCGGGGCGCTGCCACTCGGCCCCTCCAGCCGCGCCGCCTGCCGGCAGGGCTCTGCGCCGCTCCTGTGGGCTGGGAGGGAAGGACGCAGGCTGCCCTGCCGGGCTTGCTGCAGGGTGCTCCCGTCCTCCGCGCCGCCGCCCCCACCGCCCCCTACAGGGCAGCCGGAGCGGAACACACACTAAAAAAAAAAAGCGGCCATGCAGCTGGCCCTAGGATTGGGTGGAATGCCGCCTTGAACAATCTGCCGCCCCAAGCACCAGCTTGCTCGGCTGGTGCCTGGAGCCGGCCCTGGACCCTTCAATTTCTATTGAAGTAAAGCTCAGTACTGTGTAGGATTGGGCCCTATGACCAAACTCCCCTGGATTCTGCAACTATGGGGCCACAGAATTGTTCTGTCCCGAGGGCCTAATCAAATCAGAAACTGTAAAATTGTGAATTATACAGAGGAAAAATGGCTATTTGACTCTGAAGTGTTCCTCTTCTACATAGCACTCACCTTCCTCTCCACAAAAGCAAATGCTGAAAAGCCACTCACATCAGGGAAAACAATACACAGCATTTTAGTTAGTGTTCTACATGTTCAAAGTATTGTACAGCCAATAACTAATGCCACCTTCTAGACCTGGTCAATAATTTTCTAACTAAAGGTTTTTGTGTTGGAACATTATTGAAATGGAAACATTGCACAGGAATGTGTCAATTTTGACAAAATTTGAGTTTGAAAAAAATTGAAACAAAGCATTTTTGATTTTTTACTTTGAAAAGAAACTTCACCTTCTGAAATATTTTGTTCTTTTTCTATTAAAATAGAATATTAAAATGGAAGAAAAATGTTAAGTCAAAATCAAAATGAAACATTTCAATTCTGTCGATTCAATGTTTCTATTGATCTGAAACAAACTCTCTTTTTTAAAGTTTAATTTATTAGGAAATTTTTAAAAATTGACATTTTTTTCTGATGCCGAATGAAGACAAATTTTGAAATAATGGAATTTAGGATAGATGGAAATGCCATTTCCTGATGACCCCGTCACTAGAGAGGTGGGTAAGTAATATCTGCCCCATTTTACACATAGCAATTTGCCCCAGGCGCCACAGTGAGTCAGTGGGAGCAGTAGGAGATCCTGATTCCCAAACCTGTGCATATTCCTCTAGCCCAACGTGCTTCTATCACATAGCCTGGAATCTTGATATGCCATTCAAACATAGTGCTGTTGTAACAAACACTGTCTCCTGGATTTTTGTTTACTCAAGCAGGTATATAAAATGATCATTTTGCTTCTCTACCACCACCATCATCTAACTTATTCATTAGTAGTAGTAAGTGAAACAATGGGACTATACATTATCTGAAGCTTAATCTAAAGGAGAAGGGAGTTTTAAGTTTAAACCACATACTACCTGCTAGGCTCAACTGCCTATTGTCTTCACTCACCTTTACTGGGCAGCTTTCCATGTTGCTTTTAAACATAATTTGACTTTGGACAGAACTACTTATTGCTGCTGTCACTCTGTATGATGTCAGCTAGTGAGAGCAACTAGAGAGCTGTGCCTGTATTGCAGCGTGCCTTGCTTTATAATTAATTTCCTGCTTTCTGCAAGACTCATTGTAATATACATAAAGCTACACAACTGTTTTGGGGGTGACAGGCTGCCATCGCCCAGGTAGAATTGGATAGTCAATAAAGCTTCAGCAAAGGCGTTACCCAATAAAATGGAAACAAGCTAAGGAAACTAAAGAAAACTGTACAGGAAGGCAGCACTAAAAGAAGTCACTGAGTGAGAGTCAAAGTCATCCCCATTTTATCTTCTCATTCAACTTTGTGCAGTAAAATAAAAAGAAGAATTAGGAAGTTCACCCTTGTAAAAAGACAAGTTGAGATTGGAACAAGAACAGAAATTGAGGCCTCATCATAGCATGTACAACTCACAATTTCTAAATATTCGGAGTATTGAAGTCAAACTCTTAGGATTAGAGTGTCCCTGCCCTAGCATGGATAGATGTGGGGAATGCAAGAGTCTTTCTTCTCATCTTGAGCACCCTACACAAGGATCAGGAACAATCAGTCCCTGTAATTGGGGAACTGCAGGGACTGGTCCTTCTTTGCACTCCTCAGGCAAAAATCACTCTAAGGGGTCATAGCCACCGAAAGATACACTTTGCACATTCTCCCTGCACACTGGGGAATTGGGAGCGGGAGTCGCTCTCTTGAGCAGGAGTGGCTCTGCAGAGCCCCCCTACCCAAGACTGTGGCTAACTGCCACACTTGAGCCTTTTCTGTTTACCTGTTGAGTTTGTGTTTAATACCAGGTCTAATAAAAGGAGGAAAACAACACGGAAATGCCTGAGAGCTGAGGCAATTTAAAACATTTTAATTACAAGAGTGATTTAAAAAAAAGCGCTTGTTATTCAGAATACACATTGAATGGCTCAATCTGAGCTGTTGAGGGCTATTGTACATTTGCATGCTCTATTTAAATCCTTTTTAAAAACATTTGTTTATACACTTGGTGTAGCATAAAGAAATATTGTGTAAATCCTAAACATCTTAAAGACCAAATTTTGTCTTGATGGGCTTTAATAGCTCCCTTAACAGCAATATTGGCCATTGAGTTAACGAGCACTAGCACACATTTTAAGCTGAGCATTACTGACAATAGGTCATAGCAGCTCCTTCATAATTGTATTTCTCTGTTATGTATGTGCAGATATTAGAAATGCATTGTTTGGATAAAGCTATCCATTTGGTTATTAATGAATCACTCATACTCTTATTCAAAATAGGTGCTACTGGAGTAGAGATTGCTAGGGTAGGATCTTGCTCCTGTCAGCAGCAGCACTGATGTCCTTGAACCAGTCTACTTCTTCTAACAATATTGAGCAAACCTCCTCAAACTGTTTCCAAAATGTTTTTGAAAAGAGTGAACTGATGTGTTTGTCCAGAGAGTCTTACAAAACTATTCATTATGACATTCAATAAATATTATCATTTATGCATAACAAATTTGGCTAATGTATTTCTATTTGATAAGAAGATTAAAGGAGTACAGGCTCCGAAACTTTTTTTAACAGATACTAGGTTACAGGTTCAAAATCAGGAATCCAGAGAGGGACACCGAGAAGAGAACCCTGGACAGTGCCCACTACTCCTCGAAGGCATCCAGGGAGCCAGTGGACATGGCCCAGAGGAACTGTGCCCAGAAACGTGACTGCAGAAGGGATTGGAAATAGGCCCTGTAACCACAGAGCACTCTCCATCCAGCTTCCTCCTCCTGGTATGCTGGAAGGCTCCCTGGGCCATTGCCAGGAAGAAGTTGACAAGGAGGCTTCATGACTTTGTAGGGTCACAGATGAGGTATGCATAAATGAGGAGGTGAGGGGAAAAATGCAGTCAGAACTGGAGGAGTTTTGGAGGAGCCGGAAGAGGGGCTGCAACCTCATGCACTCAATATTAAATGTGTACCATGGTCTCCCTCTCCCAGCAGAAGGTGCAGGTGTCAGGAGAGATCTTGTACCACGCCAGGTACATGCTGATGCTCACAGCCCCATTCTCTTAGAGTGGCAGCTGAGTGAGTAGCCCTGGTTTTGCTGCAGGTTTGCCTCACAAGACCTTAGGAATATAATTTTCAGTGTATATATATAATTTCTTACACAATATCTCACTATACATTTTGCAGTAATTATGTTGACCAGTGTGACATGGGCATTCATTAGAGACCTTACATGACATTCTTGGGGTGAACCCAGGGGATCCCTGTACCTCCGTCTAACCCTGGGTCCTCTACAAGTTGGCATCCAAAGGTCCTTGGGTCACTGTACCATACATCTACGTACAACAAGATAGTTCCTGCCTTTGTTACCTAGTGGTCAGGGCTTATGCCATTTGACCTGCAGAGGGTGTTTTGGTAGGGAAGCCTGGGCCCACCCACTCCACCAGGCTCCAGCCCAGGGCCCTGTGAGGGCGACAAAAACACAATCTTCTAAGTTAAATAAAAGCAGAAAAAATAAAAACATAAACATAACTATCAGACATTGTTTATAAATCATAACTCTCTGAAAAAAGGGCATAATCCTAATTAAAATAAAATTCTGTGCAAGTCGTCTTTAAGTCTTATTTCTTTTTTACCTGAGAAATATCTGCAATGCTATGACTGATTTTTCCTGGTTTTGTTGGGCCTGTTGTCAGTCTCAGATTTA